TCACCACGGCGTCTCGGGCCGGGGCTCTGCTCAGGCTGTCCTGGCCTAGGGCTGTCCTGCTCGGCCTCTGCTCTTGTGAAGTGACTACACCCTCAGAGACCCATGGGTCACCCAGTTTCTTTGGCCTCTGTCCCCGTCAGCTATCACACTGCCTGTGGCTGTCCACTGGCCAGTGGTTGGATCTTGGGTTGGGACTGATCAGGGTGTCCACAGTCCCGTGGGGAGTGGGGGGGTCTTGGCTCCAGGCTTGGGCACTTGCGGGGTAGTGCTGAGACTGCTGCAGGAATGAGGCAGTGCCCAGCCTGCCCCTAGGCAGCCCTGCCCCTTCTTCTCACTTCCTGCTGCCCGCCCAGGCTGGGGCTACTGCTCCTGAGTGGGTTGCCTCCAGAAACTGAGAGTGAGACCCAGAGAGACCCAGGCCCTGCTGGCTGGCGGCGGCTTGCCCCGGGCGAACGTGGGGGCCCAGCACAGCCTCGGGAGTGAGGCGAGCAGAGTGGCACAGAGACAGTGTGGGGCCAGGAGCAGTGGTGGCCACGGCTGCTGGCGCTCTGGGGGCATCCGTGCGGCATGCTGTCGTCCAGATGCGCAGAGGGGATTTGGGCAAATGGAATCAAGCCCATTCTCTGTGCTTCAGGAAGCAGGTGGCCGCCAGGGCTGGAGGGTGCGGTGGCAGGGGCCACAGGCTGCTGCAGCACACTGCACCACCTGCTAGCACCCCAGGGATCCGGGAGGTGGCTCTCCGCAGCGGGGTGCCTGCAGAGCAGTGTGGCCCTGGACCTGAGCGGGCCGCGCCTGGGTTTCTCGTGAGGGAAGTGAGCATAGCGGGCGAGGTCAGCGTGTAGACCATGGAGAAGGTGCCTGGCAAGACTCCGTCCTGGGCCACGTCCCTGCTGGCCCCTGGAGGGCTGGATGAGGACCACGGGTGGCAGCCCAGGGGAAGAGGAGGGCCCGGGGACCCTGGATGCTGGGGGAGGCGCATGCAGGGAAACCAACAGCCACAGGGACCGATAGAGGAGGACGTGCCCTGTGGTCTCTGAGTCAGTGGGGATGGCACTCCATCCACTGAGGGCAGCCTGGCCAGGCCATCCCTGGCCACAGCAGGTTGGATGGGCGCACAGTAGAGAGGAGGCCCCTGGCTGGTGGCCTAGGCAGTTCGCGAAGGCCTAAAGGTGCCACCTGGCCCTGCACAGCCCTCGGGGGCTTCAAGACCCCACCCCACATGTCCGCACTGCATGGACGGCTCTGCGTAGCTCGCGGCTCTGGGCCTCCTGCGCCAGGCCCCCCAGTGAGCGCAGCTCCTGGGCTAGTGGAGTCCACCTTGAAGACTGACGCAGTGTGTCTGGTCACCTCCACGCTGGGCCACTCTCTTCCCCTCGGGGCCAATAACGTTTTATCTTTTGAATTCGCTTAAATGAAGGAAGCACTTGGGCCGGGGCCTGAGCTCCTCCTGGGGCGCCTGAGCCGCGTTTCGCAGTGCTGGCTTCCCAGCCGGTCCGTCCCTGCAACCCCTCTGCCTCCGCCTCAGCGTCCTACACAGGTGACTGGGGAGTCTAATTGACTCAGCTGTAAAAGGATAATTAATTGACATTTCCCTCCCGGAGAGGTCAGGCTGCCCGCTCCCATCCCTGCGCAGCCTCTCCCCAGGACGCCCTCCCTCGGGTGCCTGCCGACCTTTATCTTGCTGATAAAGCCATAATTGTTGTAATTAGTATCCACATAAAGGCTTTGGAAGTCACTCCCAGAGCTGGCCCCCGGCCTCAGGGTCAGCCTGGCTGGAGGGGTGTGGGTTTGGAGGCCAGGGCTGGAGAAGCCCAGGACTGCTCCGGGAGCCAGCGAGGACACCGTCGGCCTCCCAGCCCCTCCCCCAGAGCACTGGCAAGGTGGGCCTCTTGGTGTCTCGGGGCTCCTGGGGACCCATGGAGCACGCAGTTGGGATCATGCGCACAGCATGTCTCCCAGCCTGGCAGCAGCCACCCCATCTGGGGCTGGAAGACGTCCTGACGGCGCCCCGGAGGACGGCACTGTGTGGGCTCCTGGACAGGCTCAGCTGCCCCCACAGCTGCCTGACGGCCGGCCCTGTGTCGCCAGCCGCCCCTCACAGGTGCTCGGGCGTGGCCTGTCAGAGACCACCCTGCTGAGTGACCAGCTGTCCACTAGACGGAGGAGTGGAGGGCTCAGCGACCCAGCTGCACTGCTCTCCAGGGCCAAGGAGCAGGGCTCTGGGCAGGGGAAGGGCTGCCCTGGGGACAAACGGACAGAGGGGTGAGGGCCCCAGGAGTCTGGCCCAGACGAAGGCAGTGCCAGGGAGGGTGGCAGGGCAAGGGCAGCTGGAGGGGTCCCAGAGCCACCATGTTTGGGAGGCAAAGTCAGTGTCCTCATGCCACTGCTGTGGCACAAACCGTGGGGTGGAGGGGTGGAGGGAACAGGCTGGGGGTGACTGGGGGCTGACCCCCGCTTCTGGCTGCAGCACTGGGGTAGGAGCCGACGTCGGGGGAGTGGCGGGCAGATTTGGGGGTTGCGTCTGACGTCTGTGGGAGGGACACGTGGAGGCAGCGGGTGGCTAGCAGCAGGGAGAGCCCGCGTGGTCAGCGTGGCTGGTGCAGTCGCTGCGGGGAGCCGGCATCTGGGTGAGTGAATGGAAGAGCAAAGCCCAGCCGTCCCAGGGCCCTCGGTGTGGTCAGGTGGCCTTGCTGGGGAGGGACTCCTGGATCCACAGGAGCCAGACCTGGAAGGTTCCCTGCCAGGACGGTCCCCGCTCCCCCTCGGGTTCCTCTCACTGCAGTGGCCGGGTCCCTGCCAATTCAGAGCACCCAGGGATGGCGGAGGGGGAGTGGCGCTGCAGTCCCCGGAACAGGCCCTCCTGGGCCCCTGGTGCTCCAGGTTCTCTTCCTGCGGTGCCACCAGGTCAGGGCTCCGGGAGGGCCCGGGGGTTGGGCCACGGCTCCGCGGCCCATCTGGGCAGGGTGACAGGGCTTCACTCTCTGGTTTCATGAGATCTGACTGCAAATGCCTGGCCCAACTTGGTGGCCCACAGACAGCAGTTACTGTGACATTCAGGGAAGGCACAGCTTCAGACAGCGCAGGTGAGCCTACGGCCGAGAGGTGGACCCTTGGGGCTCGGTTTGGACACACATTTATTTGCTCAGCAGAAACTGTGTCCCTTCTAACCCCGCACCTGAGAATGGCATGTGGCAGGTAAGGCCTCAGGTGCTGCCAGATGTGAGCCAAGCATCATCAGTGCTCCCCAGCTGGGGCCCGCCGGGCTGTCACCACCCAAGGAGGACACGAATGGCTGGGGTGTGGGTGAAAGCCGGCCTTGGCACTGCCAGAGTCATCCACAGATCCCTGGTCCCGTTGGCACCCTCGGCCTGCAAGGAGCCTGCAGTGGGTGAGGAAGTGGAACCAGGCCCTGGCAGCTCGGTGCCCACTGCTGCCCAGGCCACGAGCAGCACAGGGATAGCTGGGGACCGGGGGTGGAAGATGCAGATAAAATTGTCCTTGCCAAAGGAGGGACTGCTTTGGATAATGCACCACGAGATGAGATTAAGACACCTCTGAGAGAAATAATTCCCCCACCTGCAGCCTGGACGTACTGTAGAGGCCTGGCTCCCCACAGCAGCTCTGTCCCTCTCCACAGAAGTGGGACCCTGGGGAGGGGACATTAATGCCTCCAGCCCCAGGAACCCATCCAGAGCACACACGAAAGACACCCCTCCACTCACCCACGACTCACCACTCACCAAGGGAACCAGCCCCAAGAGCCTCGAGTGGGGTCCTGCCTGCAGACCCCGCCCCATCTGTCATGTCCCCTGCGTCTAGTGAAGCTGGGTCAGACAGACTGGGCCCCGGCCAACCCCTCACCAGGCCCTGCTCCATCCCTGCCTGGGTGCACCCCCTGCTCCACCTTCCATCTGCTACAAAGCACCATCCCTTGTTGTCCCACTGTGTCACTGCCTTGGGGACCCTCCATTATGGCTGAGGCCACTGTTCTCGCCCAGGCTCCCCCTTCAGAACCTCCCTGCCTCCAGCCTTCTCAGGAATATCAGGGTGGAGGCTGTCAGGAGGGTCCTCAAGCCCAGCCCCCATGGGAAAGTGGTTACTGATGCATGTGCATGTGTGTGTGCGTGTGTGTGCATGTGTGTGCGTGCGTGCGCGCGCGCACACACATGCACACACCCCGGGGGGCTCCCAGGACCCCTGCACCAGCCTAGCATTCAAATGCTCACCCTCTGCCGAGCTGCTTTCTGTATCAGAGGAGGAAGGGGGTGCTAGGGCTGCAGCCCCGGTGGTGGGCAGGCAGCACCCCTGATCCCCCTCACCTTGGGACCCTGGAGAGGAGGGAGCCAAGATGGGCAGGGTCTGCAAAGGGCACCAGCCCTCTGCCCCCTGCAGGCCTTCTGGGGCTGCTGCCCCTGCCTGAGCTCCTGCCTCTATCTGCGGTGGTTGGGACCTACATGAGGCCCAGCTTGAAGTTTCCCATCTCGCCCTGTGGAGAGAAAAGGGCTTGCCTCGGCTTTCAGGGCGAGCACCAGCCTCTCTGTCCTATGTCCCCGCCAGGCCTTAAATAAAAGCTGAACACCTTGGCTGAGAGAAGTGGAGGTGCGGCCCTCCCAGCCCAAAGCTGGCCTACGGGGAGCTATGCTGGACCCCAGACAGGGGCGGAGGTGTGGGATCCCAAATACACCCACCACAGAGCCTGCCTGCCCTGTCTACAGTTCCCTGTCTACAGTTCCCTGTCCACCCTCCCTGTCCACCCTCCTGTACACTTGGCTGGTACAAAGTGAGACACAGGACCAAGGTCCATCCTTTGCTGGGTTCCACCTTCTGCCCGCATGGTCATGGGAGCTGGCGGATGGCCAGCTCCCCGGGCTGTCTCCCAGCCCATGTGGCCATCTGCACCCAGCCCGCCCCACGCCCGAGACACACTTCAGAAGAGCTTTGTGGAAGGTTCTGGGCTGTCTGTTTCATGACTCAAGGGTCCTTCCTTTCTTTCCTCTCAGCCAGGGGAGGCCAGTGCCACTGTCCTGAGGACCTTCGGCAGCGGGTGGAGCAAGGCTGTGCTGAGTTCCCGGACCTGCTCCTTGGGCCTCCTCCTCCTGGACGCCAGCCCTTCCTGTTCCTGCACAGCCCTCATGAGGTAGCACAGGCTCACTGCCCACACAGTGGGCATGTGTGTCCATGGAGCCCCTGGCCAGGCCTCTCTGAGCCTGCTTCTCTCTCCTCCTGCTCAACCCTCTAGAAGGCTGGCAGTAAGCCCAGAGGCAGCCTGTGCCCTTTGGAGATGCCCACCGCCCAGGAGGCTGCAGGAGGCAGCAGGTAGGACAGGTGGACTCCACTCCAGGGGTTCCACAGGGCCAGCTCTGGTCTTCCCACCAGGTCCTGGGGGAGCCTTTGGCTCTGACCATCCCCTGGGCATGGCCCTTTGCCCCCCACATGCCTCAGTCTCCCCTGACACAGAGGACTGCACAAGCAAGGGGTCTTCCTGGGTGGTGACCAGGAGAGGCCCACAGTGCAGCTGCTCAAAAGGGGTCTCTTCCAGGGACTGGTGGTGGGAGTGCAGTTCCACTTGTGTCTGGCTGACAGGGGACAGCATTCGGCCTCCTGCAGCCTGTCTCAGGAAGCCTGCCCCCCCAGCACCCTGGAGAGCCCTGGGTGGAGCAGAGCCAGGGGCTCCCCAGGCTTCACCCAGCTGGGGAAAGGTCCACGTGAGGCAGGGGCAGCTGGGGAGGGGCTTGCGAGCTGGTCAAGTTTCCTCAGCCATCTATGCCAGGCCAGGTGCGGTCATACCCAAGTGGGATGCCATAACCAGCCCATTTTACAGAGGAGGAAACCGAGGGTCAGGGTCTTCTCAGAGTTCACCAACAGCTTGCCCAAATCACGTCTGGATTTTTGTCTGACAACTAGAGGGCTGCCTGTCAAACTATGGGGAAGCCAGGAGCCTGGCGCTCCTATTGCCGGACTAAGACCCCCGGGCAAGGTGGACCCCCGCAGCCCTCAGCACCTGCAGGCCGGCCCAGGAGCTAGGGAGGACGGGGCGGGTCTCTGGAAGAGCAGCGGGCACCCACCGCCACCCGCCAGGGGTTCCCTCTGACCTCCGCCTGATGGAACCTGGAGGATTCTGTGAGAGGCGCACTCTGGCGACCCTGCTGCGCAGCGTCCTCCCAGCCGGGCGGGGCCGGGCGGGCGGGGC